TTTGTCTCCACTGTGTCCATCTCTGTTATTTCTTTTACTTTCCTGATTTAATTTTATCTTTAAAATTCTTCTATATTTTTCATTTCTGCTACCATATTTCCAAGACTTGCTCCTGTTTTTCCTTTTTTTAAAGATTTTATTGGGGAATCGGGGGAAGGGGAACAGACAAGTTGCTGTCCTTTTGTTCTTCAGTTTAGTTGTGGAGGATATTGCTTCATTGGCCCAAGTTGGCACCATCATTGCGCTCTTCCCGGGCAAGGTGCAGATCAGTCGCCGGCTTCTGGACGGCCACTCACAGTGGCTGCTGGCTGCTCACGCTGGCTGCCGGCTACACACGGCAGCCTATGGCAAAAACACTGCAGCAGGCGACTGCAGCCCACGCCATCGCCGGCGACCCACCACAGCAGCCCAGCTCCAGGTCGAGCCGTTATTCAGCATCTCAGCTGTAGAGGGCAGTGTCACTGGCCCTCATATGTGGGATCCGAACCAGGGCCCTCTGGCGTCCCAAGCCAGCTCCCAACCAACGCGCCACTCAGCCGGCCCGTTTTTACTTTTATAGCATCCTATTTATGTTTCGTTGATCCAATAAAATGTTCTTTTATATGAGGATATTTTGATTCTATTTAAGTTTTTTCTGCTTCCTTCACTGTGTTTCTTCTTGTACTTTGTTCTTTTTGTTCTGATCTCTGTCTCAATTTGGAAGTTTCCCTCAAACATCCCGTGAGTCTTAGATGGGTTTTCATATTTCAGAGGGAGGCAGCTATTTGGAAGCTCTGCTGAAAAGTGGGCTTGCTGACTACTGAAGTCCCCCTTTTCTCCAAGAGATCTGTTCCAAGACCTCCAGTGGATGCCTGAAACTGCCAACAGTACCCAACACGATTTACCATGTTTTTTCCTATACATACATCCCTGTGATAAAATTTAATTTATAAATTAAGCACAGTAAGAGATTAGTAACTAATAATATAAAACAATTATAACAATATACTGTAATAAAAGTTTTGTGAATGAGGCCTCTCTCTCTCAAAGTATCTTATACTGTACTTACTCTTCTTATGGTGTGAGCTGCTACAATGCCTATTCGATGACATGAATGACGTAGGCATTGTGATGTAGACTAGGCTACTATGAGGGTCACTTGAACAAAACACTGCATACTGATACAGTGGGTCTGATAACCGAGCTGGCCACTCAGTGACTAATGGGCAGGTAGCATATACAGCATGGAGACACTAGGCAAAGGGATGATTCGTGTCCTGGGCGGGATGGACAAGAACGGCGCAAGATTTCATCACACTACTCAGAATGGCACACAATTTAAAACGTATGAATTGTTTATTTTTGGACTTTTCCATTTAATATTTTTGGACTGTGGTTGACCATGGGTAACTGAAACCATGGATAAAGGGGAGCTGCTGTATTCTTCTTTGTAGAACACCTGGAAGGCAAACTGGCTTTTTCATTGTGTAATTCCTAAGCACAACTTCATCATGGAAGTCCAAAACACCAGTATGTATAGGCATATACACTCTTAGGCTGTTCTCCATTTCTAGAGCTCCGGTTTAGTGCCTTGTATCTGCCTGGCTTGGACTAGAGCAAAGGAAGGCAAGGGAGTAATTTCACCATTTAGTTTGTAAGCGTTCACGTAATTCCAGATTTCAACCTTGTGGCTTATCACCCTGCCCCACCCCACTCGGTAGCTATTTCCAGATTTGGCATCTTTCTAGTTTGATTTCTTTAGAAAATAAATTTCAGGTCTCTCGTGTTTAGTGGGGGGTAGAGTATGGAGAAGGGAAGTCAAGGGGAGGGTCAGGGTTTGCCATCTGGCTACAAGTGATACTAATGTAAGAACAGACAAATGGACCACTGAAACAAAATGCAAAGTAGTCACCCATATATACATGTGAGAACTTAATAAAAGGTGGTACAAAATAGGGGGGCGGGGATAGATTGTTTATAGAGGATACCTCATTAACACCATACATAAAGGTAAATTCCAGGGTGGGGGAAAGGGTCCATCCATTCAGTACTCAGACTTAAAACCAAATCTCTTTTTAGTTCCACATCATGCTTATCCCTGCTTTCCCGAGCACTTAGTACCCCCCGTACAATGCCTCTCTCCTCAGTAGTCTCCTTTCAAGGATCCAGAGTTATAGACCTTTTCTTTCTGTGAAGCGAGTAATCAGTTCTTTATTTGCTTTCCAGCTTCCAAAAATGTCAATAACCTTTTTTTCCACTGTTGTTTTCTTCTCAGGTATCTTTTGTCCTTGAGGGTTTATACTTATTTTATTCCTTTACTGTAATATTAGGGCTTTGGAAGAAACAGAAATAAACATGTTCAATCTGCTATGTAGAAAACCAAGTGAAGTGAAATCTACTCCTAAAATGCCAGGCCAGTAAGTTGAAGTCCCATTGCCTGTTAATTCACCTCCCTAATAGTGATTGCCTATTTGTCTGAATAAAATGCACTCTCAGTGCAGGCCAGGAATCCTCCCTTTTATCCACAGGCCAAACCACTCTTGCAGTCTGCCTATATTGCCTCTTTTTATGATGTTCTTGAAACTGTTGAATCACCTTTCCACCTTGAAGGGCATATCTAGTCTCAAGGTCCCAGACTCCCTTCAAAGAATTTGTCTCCTTTTAAAACTGGACTTTAATTTTTAAAGTTAAAACTAATTTGGAATAAAAGGTAACAGACGTTGATTAAAGAACATTTACAGAGTGTCTATAATGTTCCAGGGATGCAAAGATGAGAACAATATGATCCTACCCTAAAGCTGCCCAACATGCCAGTCTCACAGCCATTATTAACCTGGAGTCCACATTTAAATCACAGGACACAGAAAATGATTTGGTTGACTCTTTTCTTCTCTCCAAAAGGGTACGTGAGTATAACAGTATCATGCTGAATGCATGGGAGAGACACTAATTCATTACACAAACAGATACGTCAAGAGTATTATACAAGTTAAAACATGGTAGTGAAGGATTCAAATCCAGTTTGTCTGGTTCCAGCACCTGAGCTCTTAAGCTTTACTGTATAAAATCCCTTTCCAAGTGACCAAATATTCTCCTTCCCATGGAAACAAGGTGAAAATTATGTTGAAGTTATAGTCTATTATAAACCTTAATATGAATAGTATCATGGGCTTGGGGGAAAGATAAAGCCTACACAGAGCACAAAAAGCAAAAGACCAAATAATCCAAACTCTGCATTTTGAATAATGAAAGGAAGTAAAGAGCCATGTACACCCAAATTTAAGGGAATTTTTAAAAACTAACCAAGATTAAAGTAATACAAAGAGTGTTGTTTTGTATCTTAAATGTGCTTTAAAAATACAATTTCTAGCTAAATGATTTTTAAAAATTTAACTCACTTAATGTAAAAGAACTCTACATCAAGTATTACCTAAGACCTAACAGCTGGTTCACAATTTAACTTTTCATTCAAAACTTAAAACAAACTGTATTAAGGGATGCTTTACCATTTTATAAGACAGCAAAGTATATATAATACATTTTAGTTTCTTATTTTTTAAACATGTCAAAAATAAAACCAATCTGAGAAAACAGAGACTATTATAATACCTTTTTGGTAATGTTGCAACCTTAAAATTTTTCTGTAGAGACATTTTCTAACAAATTTGGTTTAATAAAATAAAAGAATAAAAGGTTAAGCCGCTAGTTTATTTTTGATAACACATTTTCCTATAATCTGACACCTAAACAGTCTACTATTATTAATATTATGATTTGTATTTTAAACTAATAAAATATTTTAATGACATTTTGATTGTGGTAATAAAACAAAATTAGTACAATTACTAAAAAGATAATTGTAAAATAAGATTTCAAAAGATTCTTTATGTAATAGAAATCTCAAATTTCTCACACGTTTATCAATGCCTTCTGTATAATTCCTCTCATTTTATTCCTGACATTGTTATTTAACTGCGGCTTTCATTTTATTTTTTCTCTATCAAAGTCCTATTAACTTGTTGATTTAGCCAAACAATACACATTATTTTCAAGTTAGAAAAATGTGCTTAGCTTTCCTTTTTTGAATTGATATTTTTTACCCAAACCATTAACATTCTCTAATTGGTAACTTCTGATGTTCTTTTAGCAAATACTCATTAGATAAATTTCTCAAGTAATTTTGTCATATAGCCTGTTTACTTTCACTATATGGCCATAGAGAGCTAAGAATGTGCTCTGTCAAGACAGCAATTTCCCTCTGCTCTCCGACAGGTCTCTTTTCAGCTCTGAAATGATAAGATTCTAACGTTTACCAACAGATATATAATTCTTTTAATGTAACTTGCATGTATTCATTTGCCTATAACACAGTATGTGCCATCCTAATTTAAAAATTTTGGTTTCAATTAAATGAAGAAGGCGTGTGAGTCTAGCACTAACTGTGCTTTACACACCTTAACACTGTCTCGGCTGTTGCTTGATAATACACACTGGGCTTGAAAAGACTTAGAATATTTTAAAATTTAAATCAGAAACCTTGCCCAACTCTTTGATTCAAATAAATTTCAAAACGTGAGTATCTTCATTGTTGTCATGAACTTTCATTCGTATCCTAAACTCTTCAGCATCAACAAGGCACTGAGTGTAAATATGAGAATCTAAGTTATCCAAGGAGTCCTAGATCAAGAATAACCTTGAAATCTGGGGAAACGGGGCTAGTTCAAAGCTTGGGTGCAGACAGGGAGTAGGTGGGTGGTAGCCGCTATGCCTATCTTACATTAGGGAAGAAAGGGCGTTGGGTCTCATCTATTGCTCTTAGTCATTAGTTTTGAATGCTTGGTTTTAATAGTAAATGAAGAGCCACATGAAATACTAACTCTCAATTCTGTCTCAGATGTTATAACTATACATTCAAAACAAACTGACCCTTTCATATCCCAAACAATGAAATCATGGAACGCAATGGTTGTATTTTCAATCTGGAAAAAAAATACGTAATTTTACAAATCAGAATTTCATACCTTGTGCAAGCATGTTAAATTCCAAGAACAGTGCTATGTGGTAAAGTTCCATGGCTTCTTCTGCCCTGGTCATGTTTGGTTTCCCTGCGACGAGAGCCTGAACTTCACTGAGACTCCCCACAGAGGGGCTACAGTGCAAAACGGAGAGGTCCACCACGTCGGTATACATACAGTGTAATATAACTTTTGCATATTTTTTTGGTATAATGGACTCATCTAATATAATTCTTGTGGGAGTCCTCAAAGTTCGGTCCGTGATTTCTTCACCAGTCCGTATCCTCCTTTGTAATAAATTTCGAAAAAATGGGGACCGTGCTGAAATTATAGCCTTGTGAGCTTTGAGCTCTTCATCTAAACAGTTCTGATTTCCACCGAAAGCTTCCACCAGTTCAGAGTCTGAAGAAAAACTAAGGACGACATCATAGTAACACATGTAATCAAAAAGTCCACGCATATCTACATCAAGGGAATTTGGTGTTCCAAACTCTTCACTCAGCTGAACGAGGATATCGACATTTTGAAACCTTGAGTCCTCCATTCCAAACTCTCCTGTGTAAAGGTAGTGTAGCAACGCAGAAAACATGGGCATATCTATACCAGCTGTATTGATGTCCATTATGATCTCTGCCCCATACTCGGGTGAGGAAGAAAGCAGTGTTTTAAAAAATGGACACCTTGCCGCCAAAATGGCACGATGAACAGGAAAACAAGTTTCTTGAAATATTAAGTCTACATCAGTACAATACTTGTACTCATAAAGATCGGCCATATCTTTCTGCAATGTCCGGGCTTCTGGTCTAGCCAAACTGGCTTGTAGAGAAAGCTCCTTTAAGGCTGAAGTTCCCTCATATTCCTCCACTAATGCATTGACATCTCTAACATCCCACCCAGACAGGAGTTCTCGCATCTGCTTGGCGTGATCAGCAGACCTATTAGATTTTCGACGCTTAATAAACTTCTTTTTGAGGGTGGCAAGGCCAGAGGTTCTCTTTTTTTTGTCTTGTGGTTTCTCATGGCCATGGTCAAGGCTATATAATTTTGAATCACAACCATAGCCTTGCTGAGAATAGGATGATGTCCCTAAGAAGAAAATTAAACAAATAAAAATGTGTTTTTTTAACATTCATTTTCAACATTCAGTTTAACATATATTTCAGTTAAAAAATTTTACAAACAGACATTCTTGAGCCATTCAAATAAAACTGACTTTTTATAAAGGAAGATAAAAAGTTCAAATAACTCATTTTATATTAAATAAGGACTAGGGCAAACAGAGCAGATTATTCTCAAATTTTAAAAATGCTTTTGGTTGTCTGGCTATCAAAAACCAGATATCATAGATATTAATCATGGATTTTTAGGAAATGTTAGGCAGATCTGTAAATTAAGGATATTATTTACATATAATTGTGGACTGTTTTTTTTCTCCTTAACTACACCTAGGTTGCATTTATATGGGGAAAATAAATGGACCGGGACACAAGAAACATGTATTTCCCTATTTCCACAACAATGGAGATTGCTCCTTTTCCTAGGGTAATTATGCTTAAGACAATCAAAGAAAAGATCGATTGTGCTATACAGCGACTTGGTTAAGGTAAAAATCATAAATCAGATTTACATTTGTTGGGAAAAAGATCTGGATGCTGCAGAATTATTATAATAAGTTTTCACAGCTCAATTCTCTTTTCATCCAAAAAGACCAGTGAAAACACAATTCTAGTTATACTCACAAAAGAAAATGAAGTTAGAAAACAGTTACCTATAAAAGTCTGCTGGGCTTGGGAATTTCCCCCTACCCTCGGGGAACATGAATGAGGATAGTTAGATGCATTAGCACCCATTTTCTTCAGTCACTCAGGATTCCATCTGCTGGTTCTTCAGAGTACAATCCCAGAGGCCTTTACGGACTTTCAACCCTGGATCCAGCAGCCTCTTTTCATCCATTTCTTGATTTGAAACAAAAATAATTTTATTCATTTTTTTCAAACTGCACAGTAAAAAACAAAAAACAAAAAGATACCAAAAACTGCTTTTATTTGCAAATAATGACAAGCTGTCAAATTCACATGTAAAAATTTCAGAAAATGTAAACAAATAATTATGAATTATGAATCAGTGTTAGCTGGAGTTCTGAGGCATAAAATATACTAACTATATACTTTCTATGACAGTATTTTACATATTAGTAACATATTAGACTAACTTAAATATATAATTAGAGAAAGAGTATTTCAAATCACAGGGAAAATTATTTAGACTAAAAAAATTTTTTCAATTTTTAAAAATTCCTTTGAGGCAACCACCACTTATTATATAACCTAACATTTCTAAGCTATTTACAAACACTTAAGAGGTTGACACCAGCACTACACATACAAAAAGCAGATAATTAAGTGATTGCTTTATTGTTTTTCTGCCTTAGATAAAACTTCTCAAATTGATCTTTAATCTGCGAAATTGGGCATTTTACTGAAGGAGGAAAGGATAGGTGAACAGTTAATATTAAATATCTTTAGGCTACTTGTTCCATAGCAATTATAAGAGAAGTTATTATAAATACAGTGAGACTCAAGGAAAAACAAAAACTTCTTTCTATCCTCCCCATAAAGCCCTGAAATAAAAATACTGCTGTCTATTACCTAATATTTTGACTTAACATGGACAAGGCAGTACCAGTAAGGGACAATTTTAACAATTACAGAATAAATTCCACATCATGGATCCTTAACTTTCAGAGCTGCCAGCAGGACATATACAAATGCACAGAGAAGAAAACCTAAGAGAGAACAGGGTTAACAGGAATTCTTCTAAAATCTTTATAGCATCTGGATATATAAAATTTATCTGACTATTAAAAGGGATAATGGTGGGGCCGGCCGAGTGACGTGTTGGTTAGGAGCTGGCTTGGGATGCCAGCTCTGTGCAGCACATGTGGGTTCGGATCCCACATGAGGGCCAGTGACACTGCTCTCTACAGCTAAGATGGTGAACAATAGCTCAACCTGGAGCTGGGCTGCTGTGAGTCGCCGGTGATGGCGTAGTCTGCAGCCCCTGCTGCAGTGGGCTGACATAAGCTACTGTGTGTGGCTGGTAGCCAGCATGAGCGGCCGGTAGCCGGTGTGAACTGCCAAGAGCCGCTGTGAGCGGCCATCCAGAGGCTGGCGACTGATCTGCCTCAAGCAGGAAGAGCGCAATGATAATACCAACATGGGCCAGTGAAGCAACGTCCTCCACAACTAGACTGAAGAACGAAAGGACAGCAACTTGTCTGTTCCCCTTCCCCAGATTCCCCAGCACTGTTCCTCTCACCCAATTCCCCAATAAAATCTTTAAAAATAATAATAATAAAATAAAAAAAGGATAGTGGTTTAAGAGAAAAACACAATGTGGGCCAGCTGAGTGGCGCAATGGTTAAGAACTGGCTTGGGACGCCAGAGGGCCCCGGTTCGGATCCCACATATGAGGGCCAGTGACACTGCCCTCCACAGCTAAGATGCTGAACAACAGCTCAACCTGGAGCTGGGCTGCCATGAGTCGCCGGCGACGGCGTAGGCTGCAGCCCCTGTGGCAGTGGGTTGCCATGGGCTACCGTATGTAGCCAGCAGCCAGCGTGAGCGGCCAGCAGCCGCAGTGAGCGGCCGTCCAGAAGCCGGCGACTGATCTGCCTCGCCTGGGAACAGCGCAATGATGGTGCCAGCTTGGGCCAGTGAAGCAACGTCCTCCACAACTAGATTGAAGAACAAAAACGACAGCAACTTGTCTGTTCCCCTTCCCCCAATTCCCCAGCACTGTTCCCATCCCCCCAATTCCCCAATAAAAATCTTAAAAAAAAAAAAAGAGAAAACACAATGTAAAATCTATTATTAGAAATGTTTGAAAACCAACAAGGAGACAGTTAATGTCGGCTTCACAATAAAAGATGAAGTGTTTTAACAAATAAGTGTTACACTTACACATACACACACACACACAACCACACAAAAAAACACATGCTAGAAAACAGAACTGTGTCAAGATTCTTGGAATTTATTTTCATCTGTTACAGACACAGCAAGCCCGTAGGAATTCAAGTTTAAGAAAATCACTGTTAACGCGTGTGCTTTCCTTCAATCTTTTCCCACCATACATGAAAGGTTACTTATTTAAGCATAGGATTATCTACCTGTAGTGTTCATGAGAAGGCTGGGAACCTTTCTACTAATTAGATGTTGTGCAAACTAGCAGTAACTTCAATCATATCATTTACTCATTTAAGCAAATTTCCTATCTGAAATTTACCTACCCACCTAGGATAACACAGCACATTATTTTTTACTTTGCTGCATACTACTGAAGTCAGAAAGGCCACAGGCAGCCAGAGATGTAACAGGCATAAGAACCACCCTGCAAGGAACCCAAAGAGCTTAATATACTGACTATTTGGTGAACATTAAATAGTCAATAAAATTACTTCTTCCAGCAAAGTCAGTTTTCTTAAAGTTTGATGGTTAGTGTAAGTAAATTCAGTTTTCTATTCTTAAATATTAGAAATGTAGAAAAGGCTGCCTTTTGTGTAATTCACTTTGAATGCTGTCATTTTAAATCTGCCGGTGTTAATTTCAGTTCAAACTTTAAAAAAAGACAGTAAGTCTAATAAATCTTCATTTTCAAATTGAGCTCCTTAAAAGCTTTGGGGTTCTTTCAGGCATTTTTAATGGTTCTTTAAAAGAAATTAGGGTCCTAGGAAGCCAAGTTTGTAACCTCATTTACAAGTCTATTCTCACTCACTAAAGATTTGTATTTATAACAAACACAGCAAACATGATCCTTTCTCAAATTTGAAATATATTAAGAAAAACCCAGAATAAAAACATGTAAAATAAAAGTCTTTGCTGAAACGAGGGAGGAAAAAATTAATAAGATGAGCTTTGCCTCAGGAAGTAACAGAGGATGGTGAAAAGTCTTAGTAAAGCCTTTCTAAAGCGTCACTCACTTTCTTCTTTACCCATTCTTGAAGTTCCGTATTGTTTCATTTTTTTTTCCTTTTTAATTTCTAATGATTGCAGAGCAAACTCACTAACAAAGCACAAAGTATTTTGTTGGAACAAAATCAGGAAGAATGGAGCCTTGCTACCAGGTGAAGAAAAATGAGAGTACACACAAGTGGGGGGACACACACACATACACACACACACACACACACACACACACATACACGTGCGCACACACAAATTTTTAATTTTCATCCGAGAATTCTGTAAGGTTTGTAGGGACATAAAACACTATTACGTTGGTCTGTTTGAGATTTAAACCATGTCAAAAATGCCTTTTTAAAAGGCTCAATTTTATGGTGAGCACAAGTAGATAACCTAAAGCAACCATATAAGGGCTACAAGGCATCATCAGCTCCACTGGAGACACAAGCACTAGGGACGTCACAGGCTGAGATAAGGATGCTTGACCATTAGCCACTATAATGAGCACCACAGGGAAAGCTGGGGTCTCATCATGGAGAGCTGGCTTAAAATAAAAGTGTCTTTGGGACTTAGGGACAGAGTCTTCTCCGGGTAGCTCAGCTCCTACTCAGTGGGAATCCCATTCAAGAAGAACTGACATGGGTTAACATTCATATCTTCTACTGGACCTCTAATACTAAAATAAACATAGGTCTTGGAACGGCTTGATGGGAATGATTTTTCTAGATCAGACATAACCCTTAAGTTCACCCTGTGTCCCTAGTTCCAAATCCTGGGGGTAACCCTAACTGTGCAGTTCTAGTACTAAAGCCATTATGTCTCAATATTCTCAAGGAACAAGTTCATTCATTTCTTAGGTAACCAAAACCCTATGCCAAATGGAGCACAGTATTATGTTATTTACTTCTTAAAACAATCCGCTGCCTTTAGATGCTGGAAATGAGAGTCAGTCACAGTCTAATCTCTCCAGGGATGTTTTCATTCCAGGCAAGCATTACCTGTCATAAAACAAGGAGAAACCCAATCTTTGGATGATATGACAGGAAAGGAAAAGGAAAGAGAGGGCCTATAGAGGACTAGGAGAGGCCCACAGGATGCAATGGCCCTAGAACACTGATTAAATCCTTTCCTAGATTCACCATTCCGGGGGGGTTGAGGGGGCCCTCCCTCTGTTAATAGCTGACATGATCAATCTGAATCAGATGATTGATCTAACTGGCTTAAAATAAGCTCCAGTTATTATAGCAGACCTAATTGAGGGGAGAGGGAGAAATCATGTTGAATGCAACGGAATTAACAACCCTATGAGAATTTTTTAAAAACAAAAGTTAACCACTCTCCTCAAAAAACCCCCAGACCAGCATTTCCAAAGAGTCTGCCCAAAATTTAAAGGAAGCCTGGTAGGTTTCTTTACTTCAGGACTGTTTAGCATCTTTCAAGTGCTGAGGTACACTGTGACCCTCCAAAAGGAAGTATTCAGCATGATCTAAAGGATAAAGGAGCCCATCTGTCCTACATTTCTGATTTTAAATTGTACCACGAAAAATTTCAAAAATATACAAAAGAAAATAGTACACTGAGCCCCCAAACTTCCATCACCCAGATTCCAGAATTATCAAAATTGTTTTGGCCTATACTTAAATGCTTCAATTTGATAAGTAAGCTTTTATAGCTAGAATTTAAATGTTTGCTGTTACTAGATTTTCATAGAAATAAAAATCTGTATGTATGTATGAAGATACATGATTTCAATAATTATCATAACACCCATCAGTTATTGAGCACTATGAGTCAGCCATTTTAAGCAGTTGACATGAATTAACTCCCCTAATTTTCTCAATAATGTGAGGTGTAGGTCTATTATTATCCCAGCGTTATACAAGGAGAGACTGGGAAGTCAGGGAGATGGGGCATGAAGGCTTAGTTGCTAAACCAAGGTCACAGAGCTGGTAAGTTGCAAAACCAGGCTTGGCATTCAGGCTCTTAGGAAC